ATATATGTGTTAATATTCTTAAAATTCTATATGTGTCATTCAGTTCTCTTGTATACATCTCTAAATTAAAGGATAAAATAATGTAAAAAATAGTCAACATTCCCAATAAAGCAACATATTCATCATATCTGATATCAACAGTTACGAAACCACAATGGGATATATTATGTGTAACATAGAGATAACAATTGTTTAACACTTGAATTTGTATAAATCTATAATATTCGATTTAATGGAAAGCATAACAAATTGTGCGCTAATACAATATTTCATGAAAATTTATTTGCACATCGCGCTCAGTAAAACACGCATCTCATATTTGCTTCTTACAAATATATAGATATAACTTTATACACGAACTATCGAGAGAGAAAAAACATATCTATAGAATTTATATATATACGCGATCAATAAATTTGACTATCATTAAAATAGACTCTTATAGTCCAATTATAAAATAATCTAATACGCTATAATAGTACGTGTGTGTTTAATTATATCATAAAATAAAAGTAAATAGATTATAACGATCGTTTAAAAAAAAAAAGTTTTCCACGAAATACTAAACTATATCTTCGATATAATATATAATAATATACTCCTCTTCTAAATGCAATAATAGTAAATCACATTTAATTAAACGCTAGAATTGAATAGACAGATCTCACATAAGTGATTATTATTATTATTTTGTTTAAACCACTATTAAAATGCTGTATTTAAGTCAATTAAGTTCCTTATATACTACTTGCACTCATATAACAAAGTAATACGATTAATCGCTAAATTATCATTTCCCTTCACTTAAGTCGAATGTACGAATTTTTCAAATTATTTTCACTATATTTATATCCACGAAACAAAATTGTATAAATATTTGAAGTAATGTAAATGCATGATTTATAATAGTACCAGAACATAAGATCTTTAATATGATATAAATTATAATAATAAATTGAGATGGTATGCCATATATTATCTATAATAATGAAGAAAAAAATCGGAGTGCGCATTATATCTAATATCTCTCATGTCATATCATTTCATTATGTAGATCACTTTCTTCAAAATTAGGAACAAAACCGTACGCATATTCCGAGATGCCTGCCTATCAATCTTTTTAATGTTCTTCTTCAATGTTGTCGAAAACATATAAACATGTATCCTTTTTAGAATATCAAGGTAAAATGCAGCTACGGCTAAGGGCACAGCAAATTCATAAAATTTCATTCAAATTTCTTACATATATATATTATTTTTGTTTAGATCCGTACCGCATTATCCGCACGTTTATAGATTATGTAAAAGCGGAGATGCAGAATTTAACAGACCCAAACGTTGTTTTTGCTTTCTCTGTTCCGTCATCTTATAAACAAAAAATTTCATTAAATGCATATAAAGATAGAAAAATATTGTCGTAAATAAAATGATTTACCTGATCACGTAATTCTGTGAGCTGCTGTGAAAGACACTTAACCAATAATTGAGTGGATTCTAATTGTGACTGTAAACTTCTCAATTCTACTTGTTCACCCTCGCCCTCATCTGCCGCCAATGATTTTGCTCTTAATCGTGGAAACCATTCGAGATTTCTGTCCTATATACGCGTATAAAATATTAGACAACAAAATTAAAAAACAATCACCGAGTACTTTAATAACTCGTTTAAATAATTACCTTCACCATTGCATAAACATACGACTCAGGACCTGTAAACTCTGTCGGATCTTTTACCTTTACTAAAACGATGAAATAAAGGTAATGCCACATATTGTGTTCGTGTTTAACGTGTTCCTCAAAAGATACAGTCTTATTATCGAAAGCTGATCTATTTAAACCTGTTAAGAACAAATTTATAAATAAATCTAACTTAAACATTTGTTAATTACATATATATACTAACCGCAAATGAAACAAGTATTCTTTAGAATTAATTCTTTTTGCTGTTTCTCTGATCTAAGATCAGCAAACGTATCGATGATAACACCAAAAATGAGATTCAAAACAATAATTATCACTATGAAGAAGAATAGTAAATCATATACGACTCTGGCAACAAACAACGGTTCCTGTAGTTGAAAAATATATTATTAGTAAAAAAATGTGGTTTTACAGAAAAGCAAAAGTGATCTTACCGTGCTTGATGGAGCTCTTAAAACATCGCCTATACCTCCGCCATTTCTTAAACCTTGATTTAACGTTGTAACGATGCACATAACTAATGAATCGCAAGCCCGTTCTTTTACTTCACCCCCAACATTAAACAAATCTTGATTATTTCCTTGTTCATTAACTATAATGATAATATCATATATTGAAAATAATTAAAAATCCATTAGAAATGATTTTCTAAATAATAAAGAAATAAATATCGAACCTTCGCGTAAAAATCGTGACATCGTTTCAGTTGATTCACACTTTTCATTATCATTAATTTTACAAGTATCAGTAGTTTTGTCATCTAACGTGGCTAAAAATTAAAATAAAATTATATATCTGTGATATAATAATGTTCTTTTTAATTTTAACATAATCGCGTGTACTTAAATTAATTGGAAAAATATACTTACGAATAATTTCTTCGTCCACGCTGACCAGAAAATCATCTTTGAAGAACATAAATCCGATGATAGAAAACATATAAACTAAAATCAAAGCCAACACAGCAGTCAATATAATAGATCTTCCGTTTCTCGTTACGGATCTTATTACATTGAGCAACGTTTCTTCTCGATACACCACATCAAAAAGCTGAAAAATCAAAATCAACCTTTTTAATGCTTAAAAAAGAGAAAACATATGGTTTATTTTTTTAAATTTTGTTTAAAAAAACACTTACTAAAACCGAATAGAAAAATGGATGCATCAAAAGTCCTAGTACACAAAATATTAAGTATGACGCGTGATACAATATTTCACCATTTGTCATTATTTGTTCTATACTTTTAGTTAAGGTCCCCTGATTTCCTATAATACTTATGAGATGAATAAGCTTTAAAACGATCTGGAAAAAAAATAGTATATATATACATATATATATAGGAAACAAACGATTCTATTGATATCCCAATGAAAATAAAATATAATATAATACGCTTCGTACCGTAACAAATCCAAGTAACCACAAAGTTGGTTCTGGTCCTATAGAAAATATTAATCGTAAAATTGTTGACGCAACTAATGTACGTATACCCGATTCTCGAGGTAATGTAATGACAATAACTGCTGATGAAAACATCACAGCCCAAATAAGAACTGACAAATGTGAACAAAGTTCTGTATAAACAGAAAAAAACAAAAAATAAAATTATATATTATGCATAATATCATTTTTTTTTTGTTTCAGTATTTTTTTCTTTTTCATGTAAAACTTACTTGGTACAGAATCTACAAACGGATAGAAGAAAGCTACAATAAGGTTTATAAGGACAGCACAGTTAAATAAAATATTACTCCACAATGACATGTAACTGCTCATCCAAAATAATACTGGCTGTCCTCTAAGTTTCTTCTGCCATTTCATTTCATTAAACATATCTTCCGTTCTTTCAAAGAAATCTGATACCTTAGAACCTTGATCGTCGCGTTCTGTAGTATTTAATACTCTAATTTTCGTATCAACGGTAATAAGTTCGCATATTTCTGGTATCGGAAAAACTATTTGTTCCAATGTTCTATCATGTCTGACAATCTAAAATCAAATATTTATTTTGTAATTCTATATGTAATATGAACATTAAGAAAAAGAAAAAAAAAACAAACAAATAAGAAATCGGGCTTACCTCAATTTGGGATGTATGCGATGCATAATATTGCAATGCTTTGTTTATTTTCGGATCTGCGTTGTTTTCTTCTGACGGCCTCAACATCGTTGCTAATTCTTTATTATGTTGAGCCAA